GCAATTTTAATGGCCAGAAGTGTATTTTTGCTAGTATTTTAAAAACGGGAGCACTGGTTTAGATCACGTATTTTTTCAGCATGTTGCCAAATTTCAAGGGGTGGTTTGCAAATAATCACCTGTTTCTGGCGTTATGTGCTTTAGGCACAGTATCGAAATAAGAAATTCCGTTGATGAAAACCATTTTTAAAGATTAAAATGTGTGCAGTCACTTAAATATAATCTTTATAAAATATTCTAAAAATAGAAGCAGACGAAACCACTATAAAGATTTAAATATCCGTAAAGCTAGTGGGCTCAAAACAAATATGCTGACTAACTTAAGTAATCGAAAATTAAAGACATATTTCACAGTCAGTGGTATTATTGAACTTGAATTTGCTTATTTTTATTAATCTAAATGACATTTTAATTTCAAGGCATTTAAATTTATTAAATTCTAATTCTAAAACATTTTAATTCCAGCTATTAATAATAGCTAAATCAAAATATACAATAATTAAAAATTAATTAAATGTAAAATGTAAACTAAATTGTGAAACAATTAAAACGTAAATAAATGTAAAATGTAAAAAATATATAAAATTATTAAGTGTAAAAATAACTACGATGAGAATAATCAGAATTAATTATTCACATCCTAATTACAATTAATTATTCGCATCCTAATTGAAATTAATTATTCACATATTAATTACAATTAATTATCATCTTAATTACAATTAATAATTCACATCTTTTTTGATCACGCATTTTAAATTCTTTAACTTTACATCATCATTCTTTAAATTAAACTATCATAAATTTTACAAAAAAATATCATTGTGCGGAGAAGAAAATTATTTCAAAATTACCGCACTGTACGGTGTTAACAATTCTATTAAGAAAAATCCTCAATTTTGGTTAAAATATCCAAAATTTATAATTATTATTGCCACAGTAAAAAATATAAAACTGAAAAGTAAATTTAATCGAATAAATGATTTTTATGCCTTGCTCTAAGGCATAGGTCACCAAACTTTTTTGATCATCGACCCCTACATAATTTTTCGAAATCTCCATCGACCCCCAAAAAAAGTAATTTTCTGTTAATTAAAATAAAACTCTATTAGATACTGTGTTTGTACACTTATTTAATGATTTTAAACATTTATTAAAGTAATAGTACATTGTGTAACAATAGTTTTATGAAAAATATATTAATGTTGAAATTTAAATACTTTAATATTTATTAAATACTAATAAGTAATTATGAATAAGTAGAAATAATAAGTAAAGTAACTGCAGATATATTGCTTCTTAATCGATGAGATGGGTGTGTCTGGTGTTCGCTATATTGAGTTCAAAATTGGTCAATTTTAATCTTAAATCCCCTCGAAACACCACNCGTTTATTAATTTATGTTCTATAAAGAAACTGATATTAAGTCAATTATAAAAAAAATTCACAAATTTCACAAACTCAACTAAGTATGTGTGATTTGCGTATTAAAAACTGTTTTTTCTTCGACCCCCAATCTACCCTTCTGATTCGTATCGACCCCTTGGATCAGATAGACCCCCGCTTTTGTTAAATAGACCCCTGGGGGTCTATATAGCCCACTTTGGCGACCTCTGCTCTAAGGTATCATAACTTTATAAAAAAGTCAGTACTTATCAGTGATTCTTACCATGAAGCCAAGCTCACCAACAAGTAAAAAAACGCTAGGTTCTAATTTACACGGGTCACTGGATACCATTAATACACGTGGAATTCAATATTAAAATATCGTGAATATTATACAAATAATTATTTATTGTATACGATATTATTACGAATGTTTCCATTTTTTGGATAGGTGGGGAAAATGTTGACCCCATTGTCGAAATTAGATTAATTGAAAAAATATCACGATATATGTTTGACATTGTTGTTTGCTCATAGTTATGCGTCAAGTGGGTTATGACAAAGAACTCTTGAAAGCAAGAGATTTTTTAAATAGGATACCTGTTTAACACCCAAGCATTAAGCTTAACAACGCATTAAATAAGAACGCCAATATCACACTACAGTATTATTTGGATCTTTTATATTCCATGACGTTTTTTGTTTAAACCTGCAAATATATACAGTTCTTTATTATACACCAATTTTAAGAAATTGATACCAATAAATAGTAATAGATAATCCTGGTTTTGTCTCCTACTCCTCCCTTAAAGCCCCCTTTAAATTTGTCTCTGTAGAATAGTTATTCAAAGATTGCTTTTGTCTAACATTCAACAGAAGGTTTATCTTTGTGTTGAAATTCCATTTGCTTTAATGCCATTTCCTTTTCGTTTGTTTTAAATCAGGTTGAAATGGCTCACTTTACTTTCATCTTAAAGTTCTGAAATCTTTTTTCAGGGCACTCTAAATGGTGAAAGTGCACACTCGAATGGTGAAAGTGCACACTTGGGAATACCTAAATTGTTAAAATCGTATAGAATCCTTTCAACAATTTCTTCAAGTTGTGGTCTTTATATTTCGTATGAAATTTTTTATTTACTATCCACAAAGTCGAGTCTTTTTATACTTATTCTTTATTTTTATCCATTTGTTCAAAAAATGAGCACTGAAATTGCCAATTCATTATAATACATATTCGGGAAAAAGAATTTATGGAATGGAAAAGCATTACTATAAATGTTACCGTTAAAGCTCGAAAGTCCTCTACACATTAATCAGCTGATCTGCTGATTAACAAGGGAAAAACGGAATCAAAATTAAAGTAGATTTCATCAAACGCGATCAATTTACAAACGTAATTTCCGCATTAACGGTTTCCGAATAGTTAACGTTCAAAAGTCTGTTTTTCTTAATCTAACAACTTATATGTTGATTGCTATTGCTTGCTGTTGAAGTATGCCATTAAGGCATAGGGGTGCGATTGTTCTTGTTTTCCAGTGGCGCCATCTATGTCCAAGAATTCGTCACACCCGTTTTTAGGGCGGACCCATTCATACATCCATTCATTCATCCACAGATCGTAATTTCGACCTGAATCAGAGAACGATCAATCTCCAATTCTGTAATCTTCAAGTCTGATGTTTCAAAAATGAGTGATTGTGTTAACGCTGGTGCTGGTGTGTACTGTGAAATTTTCTGCCTGTATACTCCCATCGACATTTACAGATCAGCTTTCGATGACGAGATTGCTGCCATTTAGCAGGCCCTGTCACATCTTCGGCCGCTTTTAGATTCCTTATCAAAAGTTGTAATACTATCCGACTCAAAGGCTGCACTTCAAGCAATTAATGCTCTCAGTCACTCTCGAACTTTAACCATCGATACTTGCTCAAATCTCCTCAAATGGTTTGCCAGTAATTCCAAGATCGTGACTCTCCAGTGGATTCCGGGCCACTGTGGAATCCAGGGAAACGAGGCGGCCGATCTCCTGGCAAAAAAGGGGGTCTGATCTGATTTGATAAAAATCTGACAGATCAGACAACCAGCTCATGACAACCAAAGAAATTTATTTGAATATCTATCCGATTTTAACATATGATTTGTTTATTTTTAAATGAAACTGTAATTAATGATTATTTTGTAGAGCGTAATTTTTATGGCACAACTATTCCTAAAGTGCAACTAATTATGAAATTATGTATTAAACGCCATCTGGTGGTAACATTTCTAGCAACTGCTTTTTGCAATGAATGAAATTACCATTCTATATAGAGGCATTCGCTAAAATTAATAATTTTCGGATGACTATTTTCTCGACTGTATACAACTTTAAAATAATGGACAACTCGTGAGACAAATTTTTATTTTGTGACGTAACTACTTTAGCTGCTAACTAAGCTTCAAGCTAAAACGTAAACATTTATTTAATAAACTCTAGTCCTTTGCTCTGAATATTAAAGAAAATCGGTTCTGAAACGTTCTGAGAGGCTTTCCTTTCCTCATACATAAGCAAAACAAAGGTTATTATGTAATAAACCGGTTAAACCTCTTTATTTGCTTCAGAGAGCACGTTACTTATGAGGCAAATAAGCATATAAACAATTATGTGCAGTTTTTATATAGAAAGAACTCCTCTAGCCATGAAGTCTAAGGCCGTTTGCTGCTATGGAAGGAAGAAATAGGGCAATTCAAAGAGGGAAGTTTCTTTCTCCTTGATTCATTCGCTCGCCACCCCGAGTGAAAACCGGTCTTAAATAATGCCCATCTCTCCGACTTGAAATAACCAATATCTCGTAACCATGGTTACCGCCATCACTCTAGACGAATGGCATGGGGAGTTGTTTACATAGACAAACTATACAATTGAAAGTTTGCACCCCGTGTATAGTGCGGCTTTGAGGAGAACTCCTCCAGACTTAAAGTCTGGGATTGTCTGCTGCTATGGTAACAAGCGAGAGCACGTTTCTAAGAGGGGTGAAATGGTGGAAAGAAGATGTCGATTGATTTACTCACGACGAAGATCAAGACAAAACTATTCGTCCCACATCCCTCTTCGAAGTGACCTTTCCTCGTAACCATTGTACCCGCCACGACGAGAGACGGGTGTCTGGAGGAATTCTTCTGAAGCCGCACTATATAGTGCGGCTTTGAGGAGAACTCCTCCAGACTGAAAGTCTGGGACTGTCTGTTGCTATGGTAACAAGCGAGATCACATTTCTAATGGGGTTGAAATGGAGGAAAGAATGTGTCGATTATTTTACTCACGACGACCTACGCTAAATTAAGACAAAACCATTCATCCTACACTCCTATTCGAAGTGACCGTTCCTCGTAACCATAGTACCCGCCACGACGCAAGACGGGTGTCTGGAGTAGTTCTCCTGAAAGCCGCACTATACATCGTCAATTGTTGGTGTTTACTTTTTTTCTGTTGCTCTTCCTTTTATGTAAGTTATATAGCTAGTTTTTAAGTTTTTAAACCTGAAATCTTAATATTAAAAATATATATATATTTAGAATATCGTCTTGAATGCTGTTTCGAAACGATGTGACGTTGTTATTTTGTTATGTTGCAGCGCCGACGAAAAGATCGACAGTACTTTCCCAACGAATGTCGTAGTGAGGAACAACGGTAGCTGCACTTACATCCCGCCCGGAATCTTCAAAAGTACGTGTAAAATTGACATCACATGGTTCCCCTTCGATGATCAAAAGTGCGAAATGAAATTTGGGTCTTGGACCTACGATGGCTTCCAACTAGATTTGCGATTAGCCAGCGAAGAAGGGGGAGACCTGTCCACGTACATCTCTAATGGCGAGTGGATCCTGATTGGTGAGTTTATTTATTTTATCTGCTATTTCATAACCACTAGACCTATGAGTCGTGACATAAATACCGGGTCACGGGTTTTTACGTGATAGGTCGTCGAAGCATTTCCGGAAAAAATTCAATTATTTAACTCTTCTATAGAGTGTTTCCTTTTTTTCCAACATGAGCAATACAGATTTGCAACGAACAGAAGAACTAACCATTTGCATGCCAATGTTAGAAAAACTGAACATGAACTTAAAGTGAACAATTATAGTCCGAATAATATTATTTTTCATATCTTTAAAATTCACATTGTAAAATTAATTTTGTTTCTTTAGTTATTTTATTTTTAATGAGTTTTGAAAACTTTACATAATTTTTAAAAAAAATTTCTGCTTCTTATACGTTTTGCCGGGAGTCTAATTTTTATAATATGACAACAATACTTACAAGCTTTTAGGGATAATATAACCCTATATTGGGCCTATATTAATCCTATATTAATCTTTATTGTGTAATTTTAAAATCAAAACTTTAGTTTAAAACCTACTGTGCAATTTCTGAAACATAGGCGTTTTAAGGAGTAATTTAGTAATTTAAAAACAATATTTATTAGGAGTATTTTTTTTTTAATTTTAGGTGATTCATTGAATTTTATGCTTCGTGCATTGAGTTATGTTGTGTATTTACATTTAATTGGTATTATTTTACAAGGTAAATAATGATGTTTGAATGGTAAAAGAGGATGGACGTGTTTAGGCTCAAATTCTTTTAAAAAGAATACCCAGGTGGATTTTAACAGAGTGATGGTGGCAGAATACTTAAAAAGTAATCTAAGATATAAACTCATTCATACTCAGTGTTTTTCTCTTTTCTGGAAATTCGAAATGACAATGTGGTGAGGTTCATGGGGCTGCTATGCTTTTTTGCGCTTTCTATCAATGATAAAGTTGAAATTTAGCATGAAAATGATTTTTAAATAAGTTCCCAACAATGGTATTAAATAGATTCCTGTAATTGATTGTTCTTTTTTTCTGATACTTTCGATTTATTTCACTTTCGTGATAAGTGTGTTGTTGTCCAGTGAGTTAAAGAAAAGTGTATCCCGTTTTACATTTGTCTCATTTATAAATTTTGCTAGATCCTAGCACCCACGTCTAACAAACACTTGCCTTTCTAGAAGCATTTTTCTGATTCAGATTTTGAGGATCTAGATACTTATCAGCTAGAATTTGGTGCACCAGGAGCTTTAATTGGTACATAAAACATATACGAAAATAACTAAGATCCTGTTATTCCATTCTATGTCTGTAAAATATTGTTTTTAAAAGAATATTGGAGGAGATGAAGTGAAAGATAAAATCTTAGAGTCAACTGCAAATAAAAATTTAAAAAGTTAAAGTTTCAAATAAGCTTAAAATTTTTAAATTGGACTGCATATTTTTTTATTGGAGAATTTGCTGCAAATTTTCATGTATTTATTATTTTAACTTTTAAAAAACTGCAAATATTTTTATTAAAACCTCTGTTTATTAGAGACTCTCGCATTTAGAAGACATTGGTCTGCATCTCGTTTTATAATAAAAAGTAAAAGTTTTTTAAAAAGTAAAAATATTTCTAGCTTATATAAAAAAAACTAGAAACCATTTAGTTACATATATCTTGTAATTAAAAAAAATTAAAAGTTGTACTTTACATCTCTTTTTGTAAAAATAAAATACATAAAAGAAATAATGCACACATTTTTAAATTAGCAATTTCAACATAACTGAAGAGTTGATTCCACTATAGATCATTTACAAAAAAAAATAATCATATACGATTTCGAAACTATATGAATACTTTAAAATTTATAAAATAAAAAAGCAATTTATAAATTAGTTTTAAAATTTTTCAGTTTTAATATCATGAATGGAATATTAAGTGAAAAGCGAAACTCATTTTGTCCAAAAAAAATTTCGTCGAGTTTTCATTACCATCTTTGCCACTACACTAGAGCGGAGTTTTCATTTCACTTAGTGGGGAAAAAATTTAAATTAATTAAATGAAATTCCCTTTTCGTAAAGAAAAATATTTCAAAAACGACTTTTTTTTGCTAGTTTCGTATTCAATCAGCTTAATTGGATATTTATCGAAGCTACTGTTAGCTTTAGTTCGAGCGTTTCCATTAGTTCCGTAATTTATGGTTAATTCGTAAGAAAAAATATATAAGAAGAAAAAAAGAAAATTGATTTTCAAAAGTATACCCTAATGAGAAACATGAAATATACTCTAACAAGTTTAAAGAAAAATAAATTAGTTACTTTCCTTAACGTGGACAATTCAACAAAATTATGAAGAAATTTCCTGCTTTTATTGAAAATATATATTCCCTAATGTTAAAGTTATGTAAATTTATGAAGTTTTAAAAATTTGAAAAAAATATTAGCTTCAATACTAAAGCAAACTAATTGGGTTTTAAATAGATTTTTCTAATATTTTCGTTTACTTCGTACAATTCATTAATTTTTGGGGAATAGTAGATGGTATCGTTTACTTACAAGCATTAGTGGCTTAAATAAACGATATTGCATTTTGTAATTCATCAGTTTAATTGAACTAAATTGAATATTAGCCAAACGGATAAAGAAGTACTTTCGCTTTAAAATTCAGAAAAAAAGTTTTTTATGCATTTATTTCAATAAGAAATGACAAATTTTTTCTTTTAATCGTCGATTTCAAAAATCTTCCATTTTAGAAGAAAATCTATTATTTTTGGATTCGATGTATTTAATGATGAAACAAAGCAGTTGCAATATGAATTATTAAAATTTGAAATCATAATCTACAAGATGATAATTTTTTGGTAATTTTTTCTAGTAAGCAACTGTTCTTTAACTTTCAATATATTTTACTTTAGGAAATATAACTACATCTTGTTTTCAGCAAAAGTGTATTTTTCTTAGTTCAAAAAAAGTTTTAAGGTAAAAGAAATAGAAGATATACCTTTTCTGCCCTCTTTAACGAAACATAGCAATTTTTTCTTATAAATAGTATTACAATGTTTTTGATCTTTAACTTTCGTTTAAAAAACGCAAATAATTGAATTATTTTCCACTTAAATACAGAGGTATTTCATGACTTTTGACAATAATGACAACCTTTGCATCCCGCAAATCTATGAACGCTTATACTACTTTTTGAATAATTTTTAATAAAAAAATATTAAAAAACAGAAATAATATAGAACTATAAAATTGTTCTTATTTATAGTAAGGTTTTTAATTAAAAAAACTGCAAACTTATCATAATAAATGACCCATTATCATTCTTATAAACGTGATGCTCCAGCCTTCACACTATCACTCCTTTGCAGAATCGAAAAGCTCCTTTCTGTCATTAAATAATTAATTATACTGAGTGTTTTATAATTATTAACCCTAATATAATTTTATAATGGTTTCTAAAAAAGTAGCCCAAAAAACTTACACTATTAAGAGCTACAAACCAATATTTAAGCAAATTAAAAAAAAACTGTATCGAAATATAAAGAAAAGCTACTGAGAAAAATGGCAATGGAAAGACCAAAAACTGTTTCATTCCCAGAGAAAAAGTTTAAAGTGGATTATTAAAAAACACCTTTAAGTATACTCAAATATTAAGCTGTTTTTTGTAATTTGTACCTCCTTCAACCACTATGATTCGATAGACTGTGTTAACGTTTTTCTTTTTGGTAAAACACTGTTATCATCTTTTAATGTATGTACTTTTTAGAATATCTTTTGATAAGGATTCTAAAAGCAGATAAAAGAATGCTATGAAATACTCTGTTTATATAAAGCTATGATTTTTAAAAAAAACTTTATGTCACGTATAGGCTCAACAACATTGTAAAACATTAAAAAAATACTGGATTTGTGTTTTTAGCGTAAAATTCATTGTACCGTAAAATTTTACGGGATAAAAGAAACTTAATAGATACACATATATTTTCTCAATCTCTGTGATTTAAAGAAATATTACTGTTAATATAACGGTAAAAAATTTTGCGGTAAAAACTTATTTTATGTTAAAATGGATCTTACGATAGAATAGATTTTACGGTAGAATGAATTTTATGGCAAAGTGAAGTTTTCCGATGCTGCACTCAAGGTGCCAGTACCTTTTACCATAATATAGTGTCTACACGTGACAAGTGCTATCGAGGATAAACAGCTGTGAACAAATATTGCAAATATTTTCGCAAACGTAAATACTTTCATAAATATTTTCGCATGACTTCAAATGAATTTGGAGTCGTACTGTATCAAATACGTCGAAAACAGAACTAGAAACAGTATTACAATCTATAGTGAAATAAACAAGCGTAATGCTGACGTTTATATTCAAAATGGTGGCTGCTTATAGCGAGCACTGTCGAGGACAAACAATTGTGAACAATTATTGTAAAATCTTTCGTGAAAAGCTTCTATCAATATCAGATCTTCCAAGACCTCGGAAGTGAAAACACCATGATCTAGCATTGTTCTAATGATCAATATCGCTATTCTTGATGCATTGATTAAATGTAAAAGAAGAGTTACAACTCGTAGTGTCTGAGCAGCGCTTCGCATAACATGGGTTAAGGAATGAAGCAATCATCTTCTGCCACTAGAAAACTTAATAATTCCCTTAATTCTGTTCCAGGCTCATCTTCCTTACGTCAATTTTTTATTTACTTTATTTGTGTTCAATAATCATAAACTCGGGTTTCAATTATTCGTGTCTCTCTCATTCATTTTAGATTAATGAATCTTTACTCTTTAAGAGTTAAATAAATCCAGTTATTCTACGCATGCTCTATAACAGAAAATACTTAATTACAAGAAAATTTTATCTTGATGTCACAAAGTCTAAATCGAATAGGAACTAATTCACGTAACACTGTGTAATGCGCCATCTATGAGAAATATCATCAACAAAATAGTGACACGTGAATTGGTTTATCAGTTATATTGCAGTTTGCGTTGTACTTCTATTACCTTCTCTTATAGCACTGCATTTGCCACTACACTACGAAACATTTCAGATCAAATTAAGGTAAAACGTACCGGCACTCAGAATGATGAATATTGCAAAATATTTTTTAGTGTGAAATCCATTGTTACCGAAACATGTTACGGTACAAAATATCTGATACAGCGTAATTTTTACAGCAATAATTACCTTAAAATCACTGAATCACTCTAATTAAATAAATATTACTGCAAAAATTACAGTATAATATTTTACGGTAAAAATGCATTTTACGGATGATCCAAAGTGCCGGTACTTTTTACCGTGATTTGATCCGGAATTTCTTACAGTGTATATTTACGGTGCTATATTGCACATGACAATCTCTCATTTTACAAACTCTACAGCTTATGGCTTTATTATATTGATGGATTGATAGAAAATGGATTTTACGGATGATGGACCCAAATCCGGATAAAATTTTATCCGGAATTTGTTACAGTTTTTACTTATGCTGTTATATCACACGTGGCAACTTTTTATCAGGAAAATTTATGACTTAATTACATGGATAGAACTACCAAATTTAAAAATTTACATTTTCAAAAGTCATCATCAATGGCTCGACAGCCCAGGGTGAGCCTTGAACTTCTCAAGAAGTTATTTTAAGATTAAAATCTTTCCAGCCAGCGTTAAGACCAAAAGGTCTTTTTCTATGCCATCTATCCATCTCAAATTTGGCCTGCCTCTTTTTCATGTGCCAATTGGTCTAGCATTGAAAACTTTTTTTGTGATTCGGTTTTCATCCATTATGATAATGTGCTTGTCCATTTTATCCTTTGTTTTTTAATGAAGCTAATAATGTCTAGTTCATTATATGAGTGATAAAGCTCTAATGTTGTAATTCTAAGTCACACACCATTTTTTTTTTAATTTCTCAAAAATACTTCTCGAGACTTTTTTTTCAAAGGTACCTAACATAATCTTTTCCGTCTAAGATATGGTTTTACAAGCATTTGTTAAAATTGATCTTAAAAGGGATTTATCTAATAAAACTAATATTTTATTATATTATAAGTTATTTTCCTCTCCACAGGCCTTCCAGGAGTGAGAAACGAGATTTTTTATGCGTGTTGTCCAGAGCCTTATGTCGACATCACCTTTACAATCCATATCCGGAGGAGAACCCTCTACTATGGATTTAATCTCATCATCCCCTGTGTTCTCATCTCCTCTATGACCCTTCTAGGTTTCACCTTGCCACCGGATTCGGGAGAAAAATTAACCCTCGGTTCGTATCTTTTTTCTCCTGTTTTCAATTTATTATAGTTTTTTATTTGATAATAAAAAATTTTATTTGCCTTAGAAGAAATGTATCCATTGATTGAATTGAAGTCTGTGTAAGAAAGCAAGGCAATTTTGAAAAAAATTTAAGCAATCTCTTGATTTGTTAAAATGTGATAAAGGATTGAAAAATATATATAAGTATCCTAAAAAAAACTATTTTACTTAAGATATGAAATTGTTTTTCCCTTCTGTAAATTCTGACCTGAAAATTATTGATTTATATCAATCAATATTTATATTTATTCCACCTAGAATTATAAATATAGAAAATCAGCTGATATAAAATCAGCATTATATACTTAAATAGCATTATATTCCAGCATTATATACATAAAACTAGGAAGCTATACAAAAAAGTTGTCGTGGCAAGAATTTTTCAAAGTTCTAAAAATTTAACACCTTAGTTCTCTGATTTAATCTAAAAGAAATATTTATAACATTTAAATAAGCTTATTTAATTTGAACATTAAGAATATAATACGTTCAACATATTTGAATTTATCGAATATTCTATTAATGCGTTACATGAATAAAACTAGGATAATAACACGGATCATATATATTAGAATAATATTCTAGGTTAAAAATAAAAGAGCAAAGTACTGTTCTAGTTTCGAGAATTTTATTTCCAAAATTTAATGCTTTTCTTTCTGTTTACATCTTGAACTAATTAAAAAGTATGAGTCTTCAAAAACTGTTTTAACAACAGTTATTTTCAGGTTTATTAAAAAAAAAAACGCATAAAAAATATTTTTAAAATCCATGTTAAGAAAGTTTATTTCCTTATTAAAGTTAACCTGAGTTATAATGAATCAAAATAAAACAAAAATAAAACTTCTTTAAAATGAAAACAAATGAGTTTCTTTAAAAAGCCGTAAAAAATAAAACAAATAAACGTTAAAAAATCTTGTTTTAAAATATATGAAAACTGAAGCACTCTCTCACAAAATAGTAATTTCGTAACAAATACCATAATTAAGAAAAGGTGGAAAGTTAATTGAAGTTCATTATTTTTTATTCTAATTATTCTCTTAAAACGTTAAGAAGTTTCTGTTATTTTTGTTGCAACAACACGAAATCATACTAAATGTTCCTCTTTGACTAATACATGGCTTAATGAGATTCCAGTATGGCAAAAGAAATTAGTCCCCGAGTTAATTATTTTTGCATAAGTGTGTCGTCAAGTCTATGGCTACAGAGAGTGCTTTTGTTCATATGACAGAAAAAGGAATTCATTAAATCTTATTTCAGAAACTTTATTAATCTAAAATATTTAGTTCTTCATTAGGATAATCAAATTCTTATATCCATTTATGAAAAGGGCAATAATAATCAAAAGCAGCTGTCGGTGCAGTTCATTTAGTTTTGAGTCCCATATTTCAAAAGTGTGCGTTTCTAAAGTGGGCCATTAGTTTATTCTAATATAGCATATTTAAAAAAATCATACGAAAACAAATATTTAAACTAAAAACAATATACCTGTCTAATTGCAAGCGAATGCTCGAAAATATCGTTCAAATCAAGCTGAAATAATTATTTTAAAAAATCCGTGGTTATAACTTCTTTTTGCAAATTAGAAAAGTTAACTATTCTTAGTAGCCTAATATCAATATCAGAACGAAAAAGTTATTTAAATAGCATCTCTGTTTCTACGCTGTAAAAAATTACGGATCGAATTACGGTAATCAGTACCTGCACTCAGGGAGCTGGTACTTTTTACCGTAAAATTCATATTTACCAGAACATGTGACGGATCAACAGATCGCACATACAGTAATTTTCATAGTAATAATATGGTAAAATCACTGAATTACTCTAGTTAAAAAACATTACTTTAAAAAGTATAGTATAATATCTTACTATAAAAAAGGATTTTACGGATGATGCACCCAAAGTGCCGGTACTTTATACCTTAATTTTATCCGTAATTTTTTACAGTGTATACTCCACGATTTTTAAGAATAAGATAAGGTAACAATCACACAATAACACAAAAGTAATATAAGGTAACGTTTTTCAATCGAATTGTTATTAAATATAGTATTATTATCATAAGCATTTTTGTCTGAGAAATTAAATAGGCATTTAAATATTTTTAAGTAATGTTAAAAAACTTATTTACAGATCAGTATACAATTACATTACAATATAGACTGAAAATGATTTAAAAGTGTGAAACTTGATTGTCTGTTAACTCAATGCTCCTTGCATCTGATATTCCGCAAAAACACAGATATATGAACTTCATTTTATCATAGGAGTACTCGTTTTATTATCAACCAATTTATCATCAAACAAATAATCATCAAACAAATAACGGTAAATTAATAGTGAAAATGATAGAATGTCATACATTATTTTTTAAAAGAGATACTTTTCTTTCGCACATATTATTGTTTTTCGAAACATAAATTGCGAGTTTCTGGTTTATCCACAAGATGGCAGCACACAGAAAATTCTTCCTATCGTCGTTGAATGATTGATGTTCTAAAAAATGCTTTCCAGAACAATTTGAAAAACGTAGATTATTATCACATTACCAAGCCTATCATGCAAATAGAATGCTGTTTTTTTTTTTTTTTTAAATATTTATTCGAGAAATATAACTATGTTAGATCATTAATGAAGAAATATATTTCATTCAATTAGATAATTGTATATAATAGAAGTATAGAAATGTATTTGAATATTTTAAATGAAATAAATGATTAATCATGTCTTTAAAAATTACAGAAAAATATATTGATGAATTCTAGAGATTATTTAATAGCATAAATGCTGGATTTGAATCTACAAATGATTATAATTTTATTTAATTATGTTTTACTGACTTTTTCAATTACAGAAATATGCTTTTATACTTTATATTTATTACAGAAACATAAATAAGTGTATATTTTAATATCATCGTTCTGCTGTTTGTATGAGGACTATGCTTTATTTTACGAGTTGTATGAAAATATATATTATAAAAAAACCCAGTTTTACATTCAGTTTTTTATTGTGCAGGGCAGAATTAATTACCATATAAAAATTAAATTACTCGAAATTATAAAGTGGAAAATGGCAAATTAAAACTATTTGAAAAGTTGTGTATTTTTATTTTACTGCTTTAACTTCTGATATATTGAAAAAGTGAGTATTTGCCTAACACACTTTGTATAAAATAAAGCTTTTTGTACAGATATTCTTTTAAATTATAATATTCATACGCAATTAATTTCCAACAAAAAATTTAAAAGAAATATGAAATTGTTTTCTCTTATTAAAGTTTTTAAATTTTATGGAGTAAGCATCTGCCAATTTCGTACCTCTAATTTTTACCAGCTCCAGATTCGTTAATAGTTTAAATAAGGTGAAAAGTTTGTTTAAATAAATTTTTTATTTAATAGTATCGTGTTCAATTATATTATATTTTTTCGACAATTCTTTAAGAGAATTAATAATTAAATATGTTTTTGAATTTGCTAGGACAAACTGCAAAGATAAAATTATGGAATAATATTGAGCAAAATAGTCTCTTTGTAAAATTAAAATTTGGCGCTATTTTTTTTTTCGTTTTGGTACTGTAGAATAGCTTCAGAAATTTTAAGAAAAAATATTTTATTTCGTGATTTCAAAACCAACTCTAATGAAAAAAAACTTAATTTGCGTGTTATAGCATACCACATTAATCTGCATCGTGCACATAATGAAAATAATAGAGTCAAATGCTCAGAAATTGTTTGCAAATAGTAGGGTAAATGTTAAACTTGAATATTTAATTTTCGAAACAAAATTTCGCGCACAAGAAGAACTAGAAACACTTGCATGGTTTAAAGCTTCAAAATAATCTGTACAGCTATAAATGACCTTCTATATTGTAATGAATAAACAATACTATTTAGCTTTCAACTTAACAATATTACGAGGAACATATTGTAACGATGTAAAATACGCATCGCTTTAAAAATTGAGAAACCTTCACACATAGTGAAGTAATGATTTTATGAGACACATAGGTTCTTCCTCAAACCTAATTAAGTGATCTTACAATACCGTTTATTATCAGAAGACTTTCAACCACAATTTGATATTTTAAGGATTAGAGTTACTTCCAAAGGGAAAACAATACTGTATTGAGCAACTGGGTGGAGCCATCTGAGTGGTATTTTCTGCTGGATGTTCCTAAAATGACAGACAATATTAAAAAAATTTATGGGAAATAGAAGTATTCGGTTTGCTACGTTCTGTTTATAAAGCTAGTTTATTAATTCAAACCAAGTTTCAAAATTAGTTATAAAGTGTGTCAACAGATGGCGCCACAAATTAACCATTATTTAAAGCAAAAGGACGTAGTTTGAGGACAGCCGCTGAAGCCATTATTTAAGACATTTTTGATTGACAAGCAGAAGAAAAATCTCTTGACGAATTTTATAACATATTTAGAAACTTGGTGTACGTTTTGTTCGTATTGGTTTTTAAAATAGCAAAGTAATTTTGGGAACACTCGGCATAATGCTTAGGTTGAGAGCTTAAGACTTTAATTTCTTCTGTAGTGATTTATTTGCATTTTTTTTTTTAATTCTTTTTTCAAATTTAGTTTTAAATTATCCGACTAATTCGATTATATCTAGTGTAATGTATAGTGCTTTTAATCTATAGCCTATATAGTCCTCGTACAGCAGCTGCATAGGTCGTGGTGTGTATGGAATGAAATAATTAATTAATGTGTGACTTCCCCTTCCTTCAGGTGTCACGATTCTTCTGTCCTTGACCGTCTTTCTTCTACAATTAGCGGAAACGATGCCACCCACGTCTGACGCAGTCTCAATCATAGGTGCGAAACCTATAGCGAACACGAACACCCTTTTGCACGTTGTCATGATTCGTGTTTCTTTTTGGTGTAACTCTTTATTTTTGGCACGTTGGCACGCTGTTTTTTGTACATGATTTATTTTACGTATATGCACCTGGAGGCATTTGTAGTTTCATTTCCAGTGGTGTTCTGTTTCCCTCACTGAAGGAAGTCCTTTTACCATAAGAATCCAAATAAATAATAATAGATAACGCGTTTCAAATCATCATTTAAAAAATCCTAAATAATTAATGAAATTAAAATGAAAGAATTATAGGAATTGGGTTTAATTTTAGAATAAGAAATCAAAATAAATAAAATGAAAATAAAATGGTTATAAGGAACGGATTTTATTTTATCTTAAGTAATCTTAATAAATTAAAAATAAATGAATGAATTACAGGTATTGAGTCTCATTTTATCATTCGAAAGCTAAATAAAAAAAAATGAAAAATTTATTAATTACATTTAATGGGTTGGAGTTTTTCATACGAAAACTACTGCATATGTAAGATGATGTAGATATCATGTGTATGGATAATAAAAATTAAAGTAACTAGAATTATTATGATTTTTTTATAATATGAAATTCAAATTCAAATAAGAAAAAAACTTAAAAGTTATAATTTGAATTAAATCTTATTAATCCAAAATTGTCGATAATCCTTAAGATATTGCACTTCATTTTTGAATGCAAAATCCAATGGAAATTAAGCATATATGAAAAGTCAAATAGGAATCATGGATAATATATTAAATTTTATCACAGATAACCAATAAATATTCAAGAAAAAGTCAAGGATGAAATGTATGCAATAAAGCATTCAAATAATTTAAAAACATCTAAGTAATTTTAAAATCTTATTACTCATCAAATAAATAAATCAGAGAAAGAGAAAGAAGATGAAATATTGATTTTACATAGCAAATCCTTTGAAAGAAAAAATAACGAAGGTGCTTATTTTTTCTCTTATTTAGTAAAAGTCTTAATTTAATAATTTTACGATATGATAGGTTTTTTTTAATTTATAAAATTAATTGAGCTATACATAATCTCAGGAGTCTAACAATGTGGGTCCTCAGACACCTTTAAAAATTGTCGCTGGTTTCTGATTCCAAAAGACTGATCCTAGCTCATAGAAATTTTGCATTTTTGTATATCCCTGCTTTTTGCTGATAATATTTATAACAGTAAAATCTGGAAATTTACATCAAGTATCTTCAATGTAATTGTAGTTCTTTAAAAATAATATCATTTTAAATTTTGTATTAATAGAGAATATGAACGTGTAGGCATATAATTTTTTGACTTTTCAATTGAATGCTAAATTTAAAAACTGTAAATAACGGATTTAGGAAAATTGTTTATTTTTAACGCCTCGAGACGATTCGTAATAAATTTAAAACTAGTTTAAATAAAAGCATAACCCATTTTGAAGACATTCCCGAAAACATTTTATTTCAAAACACTTTCAATTAAATTGTAGTTCGTTAAAAAGAATAAAAATAGGTATTAATAACAAACATAAACGTGTGCATGGACATACTTAATTTAATAACTTTAAATAACCTACCTTAAAACTCTTATTTAGTAAATTTGAATTTATTTACTTAAGGAAAGTGAAAAAAATAACAAATTAAGACAACAAAAAAAGTATTTTTTTATTCTTATAAGAAAAGAACCGTACCAAAACAGTATTAAAAACTGTAAATCTCCCGAAAAACAACTCTTTTTTTTAAAAAAAGGTTTTTGTTCAATTAATTAAAAGAAATATCTTTGACAAACAAAACGCCATTGTGCAATTCAAAGTTTAAAAATAATAGAAATAAATAACTTTTAAAAGCTTAAATAATTCAAAAAACAAATATTATAGTTTTTTCTAAGAAATATCTTTATTAAATTATCTTTAGAAAATATGTTCCTATTCAAAATTTATCAATCTACTAATGAATTAAACAGTTTTTTACTGTCATAATATTCTTTCTTAAACAAATATTTTTATAGGCTATCAATTAATCTATCTGACAGTTTTTGCACCTCGTTATTTTTTAAGTTTTTTCCTACTCATTATTTCTTACAAAAATTAAACTCGTTTAACTGAAAACTTTCCGTATTAATTCAATCAACAGATTCAATTTTTTTCTTAAAGTAAACTGTTTTCAGATGACATAAAAAAACGATTGATAATATTAATTCCAATTTTAAATAGCTTTATTAATAGTATATATAAATGCATGCTGAATATGTAATAAGAAACATTATTTGCTTGATATACATTTATTAAAAACAGTTATTAGGTTATAAAAAAAGTCAATTTTGTAATATTCATCTTGGCATTTTAATATTTCATATAGTATTTTCAAGCACAAGAAATAAATTATCTAAGAATATTATGAGAGTTATGATTTTCGAAATTAGCCTACAATGAAACTTATTTATTTCATGGAAAGAGGCAAGTTCTATGTCATCAAATAACGTGCAACAAAGTCCAATATAGAGTAAATTTCGAAATTCACCGAGCAAGTCCGTTAGACAATTACAACTAGTTAAACAAAAAAAAACCAAAAAAAATGAAAAAATAAAGTTTTCCAAACAAATAAAAATTTTAAAAAGTGTAAACATTGCACACAAAAAAATTTAGACTTTTTATGAAAGATATAAATCAAATACTCCTTTTACCTGATATAGGGAAGTTAAACAAATAATCTATCTAAATATTGATTCTTTTATTCATTTAGCCATTAAATTTCTAATAAAAATAATATGATTTAAAAAGATAATGCTAATCATTTTTGGATTTTGGGCTATGTGATTTTGAAAATCAAAGCATTGAATTGTCCTTAATAAAATTCAATGCAATATTAAAATGCACAATCGGTATCGGAATGTTTTACAAGTTTTTGTTTTAACCCAAAAACAAAGCGAGAAATAATAATAAAATATTGCAAACCACATCAGCACTGTTACAAACCACATTTTTCATATAAATTTTAGGGTTTTCGAAAAAAAAACTTCATCTTTTCTAAAGTCCAATATACGGAACATAACAAGCTTTTGTGTTATGATTTTTCTTAATTACGCTTTTAATTTCACTCTCCAAATGACTCAATTAAAATCGTGCATGAACTTATTACTCCAGACTCATTACTTTTCAAATTCTTATAAAAGAATTTACGAACAACTTTAACAAAATTATAGGCTGATTTAAAAATTAATGAAATTTATCACTTCCTTCTTAAAGTGTTGGGACTCAGAACATCGTAGAGTTGCTTGTTGTGAATGTTTTTGTTTGTAAGAAAAGCTTCTGAACGAGATCTGCTGTTTCAGGTGTAACAATCCTCTTGTCTCTGAGTGTGTTCCAAATGCTAGTGACGGAAACCTTGCCTCCTTCATCAGATGCAGTCTCCATCATAGGTGCGCTCGTATCTATGCAACAACCCGACCCTTAAATTTTACCCGCAACTCTTCTCTATCCCAAATCCCAGACTTCATTCTATTGATGACACAGCATTTGATACAATTCCTCAAGTTTTAAAAAAACTGAAATAACATACCAATAATGGATCTAAAAATAGAAGTTTATTGTACTCAAGAAAAAATAAAATTAACGTACATTTTTTTACGACATTTCTGGTAAAAAAAAAATCATAGTTCTGTTAATAAAAACCAAAATGTACGATATTTAAACCATTCGATTGGAAATTTCACCATTCGTATAGAAACGATTTACCGGAAATTCTGGTTTTTTTATAATTTTAGTTCGTATTACCACACATTTGAAGAAAAAAAAGTACAAAACTGAAAAGTCAATTTAACCGAAGAAATAGTTTTTATGCCCTGCATGAAGGCATCATGATAAAATTATCAAGCACATGATATAGAACCATATTTTATTGTTAGAATCATCACCAAAGCACACACAGTGGTAAAAGTTATTTAGTTTTTGGTGTTCCCCCACAGCCAGAATCTTACCATATTTTGGTAGATTTGACCACACTTTTTGTACACAGTAAGAAGAATGTCACTATTGAAGTTACTCATAAAAAGTTACTCGTAGAGTTAATTATAAAAAAATTTAATCATAGGGTATAATGTAAGTGCAAAATTAAACAAAAGTTAGTCTTAGATTATAAATAAATTATAAAAATTAATGCAAGAATAAATTAATCTTAAAGATTAATAGGAAAAATATGTTAATCAAAACTGCTAAACAAAAATTAGTTTTAATAGGTCCAGTTATACATATTAATCTTGTAACAAATATAATCATAAAAATTTTATCTGAGAACCAAATTAACGCTAAATTTTTGTCAAAACACAAACACCTTACTTAAGAACACAGATAATCCTAAAATTTTTAGAAGGAAAAATTTATAATAAAGATGAATCTAATAATATTGAGTTCCATATAAATAAGAAGTTTTTTTATTATTTCTGTACATAATTTGAAAAGAAATTCCCAATGAATACAGAAAATCATGTTTAGTTGTAAAATACATCAAAAAAAGAGTAGAATCTGCATTATATTTCATTATTCAAAAGGTTTTATCGTTATACTAGTAAAAAAGAAACACACTTTTACTTGCGCATTAAAATTTCGATATTCTGTGACCCTTTTTCTCTCAATATTTAAAATAATAGCAATCTAATCAAGTTCGTAAAGAATAAATTAAATAGAATTCATTTTTTTTTCGTCCTTGAATTATTTTTTGGTTGGTTTTAAGTTTAAAAACTTAAACAAATTTTTAAACTTCTTTAACTAACAGTACCAAAAGTTAAAACTTGCTTTTTCCCAAAATTTATTATTATAAATATAAAGGATTATTCATGCAAAGGGGATTAAATTTTACAAACAATCCAGCACTTAAAAAGTTCTTTACAAACTTACGTATTTAAATGTTCATTTGCAGCTTTAAACTCTTTAAATATTTTTATTATGAAATGTATACAAATGCTGTGTAATCATTCCTTCGCTTGTTTA